ACACACACACACACACACACACACACACACACACACACACACACACACACACACACAAACACACACACATACAGTCACAGACAGAGGCGCGCGCGCGGAAATGTCAGTCGACAAACTGAAAATTATGTTTGTGCCAAATTTAAGTTGGCTCCTCTTTTTTGGCCAGCAGAGAATTGGCGCTGTAATCCAACTGGGTAAAAACTGAAAAAAAGACAAGCAAAACGACAGGTGTAATAAATAACCCAAACGAACTGGCCAAAACGAGCGAGCGTACCCACTGCAATGTAATGCAGTCGCAAAAAAACAAAAAAGAAACGAAAACAAAAAAGGCAAAAAATAAATAAAATGGGTACGTAGGATGCAGCGAGTCGCCGCTAATTCGTGTCATTTAGCGCAGGTGGCGACAAAAGGAAGAGCAACGGACACAACCACCAACGAAAACAGATTGACAGTGATAGGAGCCAGGAAATGGTTGCGGTTCACGAGACTTTTTGCACAAGTTGTGCCAAATATCTGTGCTGACCTCGTTGTGGTTTTGTTCCGAATATACCAAATAATGCACACCGGCTATCAATGTCGGATCTATAAAGTTTTCCATGGTACGGCCGTATTGCCATTTTTACTGGCAGGCGCCCAAAAATGTGCTCTGCAGTCGTTTTTGGGATATGCCGCATATAATAAATCGAGTGTCAACTGTGAGTAACGACAGTGTGCATAATTATAAATACATGTGTAGGGCATGTTGGGGAGGGGTCGTAAATGTAAGTGATTGACCTTATACAAATCCACGCTGTAATTTCCCACATCACATGCGGGCTACATTTGAATTAAGAACTTGTTCAAACTGGTTCATTACATCGATACGTATCGAATATAATTTGAGCCGCAGTCGCTGGTCACTGCGATAGTTGACAATCGATATATTAATACGATATTAACACCAACGCTTGCAACACTGTTGATTTTGAGGGCGTAGTTCCAACAAGTGAAGAGCATTAATTTGTATTAGTAATCGCTTTGCGTGTGGCTGCATGCAGTTGAATCTCATTTTGTATTTTAGTTTATTTTTAAGTTAAAGTGTAGCTAACTTGTTGATTTAGCTGCCCGAGCAGGCGGCCACATCCTCAACTCTCTTCACAAACACAATCAATCATGGTTCTGTTTGTGCCATCCACGATTTTGGGGCGCAGCTACCTGTTATTTGTGCTGGTTCTAATCGTGGGCGTGTTCGCTCAGCATGAGTGGCAGGCCCGCGATGCATTTGATGAGATCAAAATACAGTTCGACAAGGTGAATGCTGACAACTGTCCCATACAGCATCATGCGGACTTGTTTATGCCGTTGGACTCCGTCTCTCACAAGCCCGACATCAAGGAGGTAAATGTCAACCCCGTGTTTCCGAATCGTACGGCTCTGCTGCATCTGCAGAATATGGCGCTGAGTCGCAGTTTCTTCTGGAGTTATATACTGCAGTCGCGCTTCATCCGACCAGCCATTAATGATACATACGATCCGGGCATGATGTACTATTTCCTTTCAACTGTGGCGGATGTATCGGCCAATCCCAGCATCAACGCCTCGGCCATCTATTTTGCACCCAACAGCTCGTACTCTTCGTCGTATCGTGGCTTCTTCAATAAGACCTTCCCACGCTTTGGACCACGAACCTTCCGACTGGATGACTTTAATGATCCCATACATCTACAAAAGATTTCCACGTGGAACACTTTTGATGTGCAAGACTTGGGCGCCCATCATCCCGACTCCATATCAAAGGATTACACACATGATCTTTACAAAATCAATGAATGGTATCGCGCCTGGCTGCCCGACAACGTTGCAGGTCGGCATGACACGAAAATCACCTACCAAGTGGAAATACGCTATGCGAACAATACAAACGAAACATTCACGTTCCATGGTCCGCCTGGATCTGAGGAGATACCGGGTCCAATTAAGTTTACACGGCCCTATTTCGACTGCGGACGCTCTAACAAGTGGCTGGTGGCAGCCGTGGTGCCCATTGCAGATATTTACCCCAGACACACCCAGTTCCGTCACATCGAGTATCCCAAGTGAGTAAAGACTGATAATCTAGATATATTTCCCCCACTAATCTATCGCCGCTTTAGATACACTGCGGTATCCGTGCTGGAGATGGACTTTGAGCGCATAGACATTAATCAGTGTCCGCTAGGCGAAGGCAACAAGGGACCGAATCATTTTGCAGACACTGCGCGTTGTAAAAAGGAAACAACCGAATGCGAACCCTTGCACGGCTGGGGCTTTAGGCGTGGCGGCTACCAGTGTCGCTGTAAGCCGGGCTTCCGACTGCCCAACACTGTGCGGCGACCCTATCTGGGCGAGATTGTGGAACGGGCCTCGGCGGAACAGTATTACAATGAATACAATTGCCTTAAAATCGGCTGTAAGTTAATATATAGTTAAAGCACTTGCAATCGTTTAAAATTTTTCTTATTGCAGGGATACAAAAGCTGCCTATTCAGTGGGAAAAGGCGCCCTATCACATCCGAGAAAAGTATTTAGATTTGCACACAGAGTATCGCAACTATTCGACAGGCGCCAGAGCCCTGCACACAGAGCACTTGAATATCGACCAGGCGCTCAAGTATATTCACGGCGTCAACTACCGTACATGCAAGAAGTGAGTGCACAAAATCACAAATATAATATATAGTTGTTATATATGGCTTAATATCCTTTCAGTTTCCATCCGCAAGATCTGATACTGCGCGGCGATGTTAGCTTTGGCGCCAAGGAGCAGTTCGAAAACGAAGCCAAAATGGCTGTGCGTCTGGCCAACTTTATTAGCGCCTTTTTGCAGGTAAGCGTGCGAAAGTTTCCCATCGCCTTCACGCTAAATGAAGAGCAATAATTGATAAACCCGACACCTATTAAGAGCCTTCGATGTCGCCTCTTGAAAACTTCTCAAGTGTAAATTATAATTTTCCACGCGTAATTCAACTTCCTCGAATTTCCTGCAATGCCAGTTTCACTAGCAGTCGCAGTCGCAGTCTCAGTTTCAGTTTCAATTGAAGTTTCAGTTATACGGTGCCAGTTGGCAGTTGGCAGTTGCCAGCCGCGGCGTGAATTAAATATTCAGTGTCAAACCATTACCAAATGCTAAATTCATTAGTTTGAGCGCAAAGGACACGAAAAACGGGTTCGCCACAAGGCGTCATCTTCATTAAATGCCACAGCTACACAGCCGCTATAGCAGCATCAGCAATAAAGAGCAGCGAACGCTCGCATAAACTGGACTCCTCCTCTAACCCTCCCTCTCTAACCTTTGGATTCTTTTTATGCTCGTATTTGCACAAGTTGTTAGCATACAAAATAATTGGGGAAACTTTTTTCCCCAACCAAAAAAAGAAGCTGAAATCCATATTTGAGTTGAAATTTTGTGTTCCATAGGTATCGGACCCCAATGAGGTGTACTCTGGCAAACGTGTTGCGGACAAGCCGCTGACCGAGGATCAAATGATAGGCGAGACCCTGGCCATTGTGTTGGGCGACAGCAAGGTCTGGTCGGCGTCAACGCTTTGGGAACGCAATAAGTTCACCAATCGCACCTACTTTGGACCCTATGCATACAAAACGGAGCTGAACACGCGCAAGTTCAAGGTGGAGGATCTGGCTCGCCTGAACAAAACGCACGAGCTCTATACGGAAAAGAAGTACTTTAAGTTCCTTAAGCAGCGCTGGAATACGAACTTTGATGATTTGGAAACGTTCTACATGAAAATCAAGATACGTCACAATGAGACAGGTGAATACCAGCAGAAGTACGAGCACTACCCGAACTCGTACCGTGCCGCAAACATTAAGCACGGTTACTGGACCCAGCCTCAGTTCGATTGCAATGGATATGTCAAGAAGTGGCTGATAACCTATGCGGTGCCCTTCTTTGGCTGGGACAGCCTCAAAGTCAAACTGGAATTCAAGTGAGTAGATTTCATACGCATTAGGGTAGGGGCTACCGTTTGGGTTTAGAGCTTGGGCCGGTCTGCTGCGTGCCGCTGTCGCGGGCCTGCTCACCCCTTTTAGGGGCCAGTCCCATACTCATTCACAATCCCATTGCCATTCACATGCAAATGCTATGTTTAAGGTTTCTATGATATGATTGTCTAATTTTTGAGTGTTGACATGGCCTAACTTATGACTTGTGGCTCTTCAGCTGCTTTGTCATGCTAATGTGAGCAATTAATTGACTAATTTGTTGACTTCTCTCGCAGGGGTGTGGTCGCTGTGTCCATGGACATGCTGCAGCTGGACATAAACCAGTGTCCGGACTGGTATTACGAGCCTAATGCCTATAAGGGCACACACAAGTGCGATGAGAAGACGTCATATGTGAGTAGCGATTCTATTTTAATGAAATTTTTAATTGAAACTTGCATTCTGACAGTGTGTGCCTATCATGGGACGTGGCTATGAGACTGGCGGATATAAGTGCGAGTGCTTGCAGGGCTATGAGTATCCGTTTGAGGATCTAATCACCTACTATGACGGGCAGCTGGTCGAAGCCGAGTATCAAAATATCGTTGCTGATAAGGAGACTCGCTACGACATGTTCAAGTGTCGTCTGGCGGGAGCGTCGGCCTTGCAATCAGCGTTGGGTTTGGTCATCTCACTGTTTGGCCTTACGTTAACGCTACTATATAGATTTAGTTAATCGTCCACATAAGCCAAATATCTAACGTCAATTTCCGTCCATACATATGAATCTCCATATCAATCCTCACACAAAAACAAAAAATCTACAAAAAATCTAAAAAAATCTGACAAAGCAACAGCTAGACACAAAATTGACACCCAAAACAAAACGCGCTGTTGCCAAAAAAAAAAAGAAGCCCAGAAAAGCAAACCCAAATTGTCCGTTGTGTGTTCCATATACCAGATATGTTCGCTCGATGCGTCTTTGAACATTGTCATCATTTATCTGCAAGGCGATTAAGTTGTAGACATAATCTATTACAATGAATCTGGTTATTTGTCATTTCTATCAAAGGCGGCAGCAACGGCGGCAGCAGCAGCAGCAGCGGCAGAAGCAGCAGAAAAGCGCAAACAGCCGCGCCTACTGCGCTCAGATTACGGAAGCGACGCTCTGCATCTCCAGCTACTGCTGCCGACTGTGGTCGTCGCTAATGTCCGTGAAGTTGCACAGCTGTGTGCGTGTGCTGCTCGCTCAGAATTCGCAAACCTGTTAACATCAAAACCCAGTTAGGCCCCGTACCTACACCCATCCTCTAGAGCCAGGCTGAGGGTTGGTTGTGCCGCACGCACACACCTTTCCTGCCAGGCCAGAGGCTGCAAAAAAATAACCGAACGCCTGCCGTCGTGTTTTTCTTATATTAAATCGTCGACGTTGCGGCGTCCGATGGTCCATTGGCTGCTTTTTTGCCTGAATTAAATATGCTGGCGATTTCGTTTTTTTTTTTTTTTGCGCCTTGATTATCATATGCGCTTGAATTTTTATTATCTATACCCTGAGAACTTTTTCTATGCGCCGCAGGAACCAGTTTATCAGCCACTTGGTCTTAGATTTGGTCTCCTGCCAGGGCAACAAAAAAAAAAAATCGCCAGCTCTTCTTTTTTCATTAAAAATGATAGGTAGCTGGACTTGGACATGCACACAAAAAATATTTTCACACATTTTTCATAGTCATATCAGGGCAACAGCGCGCCGGTGGGCAGTGACGACCGCTGCGTTTTGGGTAACTCCTCCATTTCCATTTGTGCCGTTGCCGGCTGCAGGCAGGAGCCAGCGCAGCGGGTATACAATTCAAGTAGGATTTCTCCAAGTATATATCCATATACACATTATCTTTATATGCATATACAGTGTCTTTAGCAGCCTTGTCTATTATTTAAAACATATAATTCCATATATTAACTTGTAGGACAGTACAAAAATGAAACGATCGATAAAGTGTTAATTGTGCCTTATGAAAACAAAAATTCCATACTCGAATATACATATACGACATATGCATATAGACTAAATCGTAAGTCCGTCCATTTTATTAATACCTTTGCTATCAAATGTTAATATTAAGTGCCTTGACAAAGAATATATTCTCGAATTTTATGTAAACCTGAATCTGTTTTACGGTCTATTTTGTAGTTTAAGCCTAAATACCACATAGTGTTCGAAGCAGAAATATGGAGAAGCTCGATGAAGAGATATTTTATAAATGCTTTGTAGTACATGAAATACTTTGAATACACGATTTGCAGTAAAGTTATATGCATATTGATTGATTTGGGGCAGTTTTGATTGCGCACTTACCAAATTTATTCATATTGACTTCCACGTTAAAGCTCAGCACTACAATCACGAACGAAACGCACACAATTCAAATAAAATTTGCAGACTTTACGATTTATCGAGTGCAAAAGGACTTTCCGTTAAAGGTTATTATTTTTGAAACAAAACACAAACAAAACACAAGACCTTGGAAAACCAAATTAAATGTTGCCGCCCGTTGATCGCCGGGCGTCACGTTTCTCTTAAATCGCGGTAGTTGTGTGCACGACTGAACTGATTTGATTTAGTTACGATCGGCCCAAGCTATCCGCGAAATATGAAGAATAAATCGTTAGTTCGAACTTTGATTTATTTTTGATCCTTTTAGAATTTTAACAAATTTTGGAAGGGTTTCAATTTGAATGAGAGATGTTTTTGTACTGAGGCTTACTGATTATTTATCCGCAAGTGAGATGTTTCCCCAATTGACAATTGCCTCAAGGCAACCACGACCAATGTAAGTGAGACGAATGCTTTGCCATTTGTTGTAGTGTTTTCATTTTATTAGTTAGTACATTGTGATTTCTAATTACAGTTCCCGGCTACATTAAAGGCTGCCTCCGTTTCGGGTGGGAGTAGCTTTAAGAAATTGGTTATCAAACATCGTTAAAAATTATCACAAAACAATTATTGGATGTGGCTACACAATTTAATACATTTACAAAGTAGGCAGCTCCGAAATTGTATTCTCGAACTTCGAGATCCATGTCTGTGTCGCCACGAGCAAGGGAGCGAGCGCCACTCAGTCGTTGAATGCTTGTGAGGAGGCATCAGGAGTCAATCATACAATCCCTAGCAACTAACATTTAATAAACAGATTGCTCTCGATTATTCAATTCGCAATACAACAATAGACAACAATTAGCTAAATAACAAACAACACACGATCATTACAAAAACAATCACAAACACTTTAATATCCGCTTCGGTTCGATTTCAACTTAAAAGACACACTCAAACAGAATACACGAGTCAAATGTAAATCATATTCAGATCATTCGTCTGCCTTTTAGTTGCTAAAATGAGCTTACAACTAAACGGGTCGATTTTTCCTATTTCTTTTAATTTCGGTTTTCCTTGTGTCTCTATAGTAAACGTGATCTCTATGAATAATATACCTTAGACTAACTAATATCCCGAATATTGCAACAATGAGTTAGTTTGGTATTTGGTATCCCTATCGAGGTGTGCCGCAGTGTGGGTTTACTTTAAAATTTTTAATAATAATATTTATTAATATACCTTTATGTACTATATAATTGCTAAAAACAATTGGCTTCGATATATCATTCAATTCTTCTCGATTATCTATTTCAATTACATATCTTCTTGTATCGCTTTCATCTACATAATTCTCTGTGTATATCAGTAAGTACTTAGTTAATTTCAGGGGCAAACTTGAGCTCAGTTATATAAGGAGCTCTCGTTTGTTCTGGGTCTGGTTCTGGTTCTGGTTCTGGACCGGGTTGTGGCTCTGCTTATGTGTCAGAGTGCATGGGCTTTCGCATGGATTCTGTGATATTAAGAAAAATTCTATAGTTCGTGTCGACGATGAGCTATGTAGTATCTGTACTTGTTGCGTATAATTTGTAAATATTTGAGCAAAATTCTAACTGCATGTGTTTCAATTAAAACTCTCACAACAACAACGATAATTATATGACATACTTGTAACGATACAATAGTGGTACGTACGCCCCAAATGAGTCTAAGGTGCTTGATTGAGGTCGTAACCGCGTGTTTACTCCATATGCTCGAGCGGTTTCTATTGATATGCAACAGCTAAACTGCACCACAGCGACTATCTATTGGCCCTGTGGCTATTCTGTGGGTGCGTAGTAGACCACGGTTGACTTGCGCCGGAATCCCAAATTGAAGAACGATGTCTCCGACTTCTTGCGATCATGTTCGTGCTCGTGCTCATTGCCAAAGTAGGAGAACAAGCGACCGGTGCCGGTAGGTGGGGCGCGGAGGCCACCGCTGCCGCGACGGCTGCCATGGACGCTGTGGCTGCTGCTCTGCCGATGGATCATGGTTAGAGATGTGTGCGAGTGCTGGCGCTGTAGATTATGCTGCTGCTGTTGTTGGTGGTGGCGGTGGTGCTGTTGTTGTAAAAGCTGCTGGTGGTGGTGTGCGTTGGTGCTGCCATGCAGAAACCCAGCTGTAGTTGGCGATAGATCAGTCATCTCACACGGCCAGAGGGTGAACGAAGATGGGACCTTATGTATCCCGTCCGATAGTCGATAATGGTGGGATGCTGACCTGTTGAAGTACCGCTCCGAGGGCCGCGACCCCATCTATGTATTATATGTACGTATATATTGTGTTTTTTTTGTTTTGTTTTGGTAAATCAGAACAGTGTGTGTGATGTGTGGAGCATAAAGAATAGTTGAGATATTAGCAATGGGTCTATAAATTTCCTCATCATATTTTTTGTATTTTTCTAGGCATTTTGTGTACAATTCTAATGCGCTTTATGTACATATATGAATATTTGATATTGTTTTTTCATTTGATTTTTTTTTTTAAATATGTACTCGTATATACGTAGCGGATCAACTACAGTCAATCAATATACACTATATGGTATATGGTATATTTATTTTCGCTTTTTCAGTTTGCTCAAGGTATCTGAGAGTTGATCAGCAATGCATTTACATAGTCTTACTAGTTGACTCTAGGATTGTAGGCGTCTAAAATTGTTAGCTAGCAATATTTTTTACTGATTTTTTACTGATGCTTCTTAAGTTTGTCACATTTTTGTTGTTGTTGTAGATATATTTACACAATAAAGGTTTGTGTTGGTGTTCGTGTGTGTGTGTGCGTGTGTTTGAGGGCAATTGTAGGTATAAGCAGAGGCAGTACTTGGGTGCCACATACATACATGACTAACTATATATAGCTATAGAGTAATCAGTAAGCTGTGCCATTATATTCATAATTCATTTAAACAATGGAAGCATAGTGCAACTATTTACAGTCCTATAGGCGATAATAACATATAACATATAAATTATAATAGTTATAATAATAGTTTAATTTGCAGTTCGCTGTGTAGTTCAGAAAGAGTACGAGGGTAACTAGTGAGGTTTCTAAAGTTAAGGGTTGACAAAAAATATTAAGAGCGCTCACCATTTCGTTAGTTTCGCAATTTCAATTATTATTGTACTTTTTACTAAGTATTTGGTAAAAAATTGTTTTTTTTTTTTTTTTCGACAGTTACGACATTTATAAAAACATTTTGTGGGCCGTGGGGCTTAACAAAAACTTGCCTAAAGCCACACACGCTCGCTACAAAAATTGCGGTTTATAGGATCGGGAGTTTAGTCATGCGCTTGGCTCAAACAACATATGAGTTCGTGTTGACAGCATAATATTTTCGTTTATGTTTATAATGGGACGCATAAATATGCTGCGATCTGTGAATTAAAAAATCAAACCATAATACAAATAGAGAACAAGAGAAGGAGAGAGAAAGAGAGAGAGAGAGAGAGAGAGAACAACACATAATTTAAAGAGGACTTTAAGCAGAACAGAAGAACAATTTTAAGAACGAAAATGCATCACTTGAACATTTCACTTGGACTTGACTAAGTCTGAAAGGTGGCAACTGTACCTTACGAGTTACTCTTGAATTTAACAGGCAATAGTTAATTCAATTCAGGTACTTACCCCAAAATCCAGTGATCTTTCTGAGCTTCATTAATTTGCTCTTGTTAATTTTTTTTTTGTGGAAAATCATTTACAAAATATATATATGCGTGTTTTTCTTGTTTTTTTTTTCTGTACAGAGTATCTGTCTGTGGTCTTTTTTTTCCAACTTTTAGCTTATATGGTGCGAGAAGGAACGCGTGATGTGCCGTTGCGCATATCTCGTGGACGGTCCTGTGACTGCAGCATCTCGTTTACAAAGCGCTGGCCTACCGCTACGTGGTATATATTTATTTATTGTGTTGATTTTTGTACATTTTTTGCAGTGTATTACGGTTTTTCGAATTTTGCAATGAGAGTTGTGGTGAAGTTAGTTAATTTGGCCAGGTTGATTGGTGGGTTGTGATATCGTGTGTTTTGGGTTGTTGTGTGTGAGAACAGAGAGAGAGAGAGAGAAAGAGAGATAGAAAGAGAGAGAGAGAGACAGAGAGAGAGAGAGAGAGAGAGAGAGAGAGAGCGACAGAGAGGGCAGACAGTCGTATAGAGAGAGAGATAGGCAGATCGTGGCAGAGGTGAAGAAGAAAAACAAGAAGAAAAGAAGCAATAGTACAGATTAGCAGTGTTTTCTATATATACAAATTGAAAATATTTTTACTACTAGATAGATTATGTTTGATTTAAAAAAAGGGAGCTCATGTGACTCGTTCTGTTTAAGCACAAACTTTTTATTTTCTCAATATTGTTTATGAACAAAAATAAAACACAAAACTTATAAACACATGGGTCTTATCCTTCTCTGGAGATAGCTTGCATTTGCATTTGCAGATGATTTAGCTGAAGAGACTCGTTAATAATATGAAAAACATATATTGCGTGAGTTTCTTTCTTTAGTGCAGTGTCAGATCTTTTAAAGAACGACGAGTGCATTTTGAAAAGTAGCAAGACTTCAGTTGTTGTTATAGAGCACTGTTATTAAAGAGGATATCAAATCCTCAAAAGAACTTACCTTTCCAATTTTCGAAACGTTTAAGTATATAATTGGCACTGTTACTAATTGATACCTAATCTACTTAGATGGACTAAAAACTACTCAAACTATGAACTTTGAATAACAAGAGAAAAATCTATAAATAACTAGACAAAATAGTAAAAATAATCGAAAGCCTTATTAACCTTCAGCGTATAGGAGAGTAAAATAAAAATAAATAAATATTTTGATGCAAAGAAATGAAAAATGAATTTTAAGAAATCTACGTCAAACCCTCAGTTAAGCAATTGATTAAAAATATTTAAGGAATACTTATCATGTCATATTGAATATTGAATATCGCGTCTAGTTTTTTAAGTAAATGCCCATAACAAAAACGAACCCGACAGCTCAAACTTAGTAGTCAAGTTTTGAACTAAGCGGAATTGAACTTAAATCAATATTCAACTTTCAAGTACTTGTCATTGTCAAAGTTTTGGGTTTTGAGTATGGTTTACCTATTTGACGTATAGTAGCAGAAAACGTTGCTTTCAGATTTGAGCACCGTTTTAATGCTTTAATTAAAATAAATAATTCGATTTTTGCCTGTTTTTGGCATTGCAAGAACTCACGAAACTCACCTCGCGTTGTGACCCAGCATTATGATGCTTCTGTAAATACAATTGAGAAATGTCGACACCATTTTTTATTTAAGAAATAAGTAGAGTATATAGCAATAGTGTAGAGCTTAG